GGGAAAGAGATCAAAAGAGATGGGTTGAGCTTTGTCAATAATAGGAAGAAAAGTCAAGATTTAAGTGGCATAAACCTAACATGCCCTTTAAGTTGGGGATAGAGGTTAGGAAAAATATGCAATCCAATTTAAACTGGCTGGGTAAATTGGCTAGCATTATTAGGTTCACATCTTTCTCTCCATTGGGCCATACTGTGGCTGTAAAAGGAGGGTATAACTTGCTAGAAAAAGAAACAACAAGAGAATCAGGAGCATGAGAGCTGAAAATTTGAGACATCTTACTCAAGGAAGGGCATGCCTAAATCACAACTTTAAGGTACTGTTACTTGCTTAAATTACTCCATCTCTTCTGTCAGTCTTGGGGGAGATGAGGGATGGAGAACAAACTGAATGGTCGGGTGGTGCCAACATATACTCAGCCCAGGTTCTCAGCCGTACATATGGCCACATCCCATAAACCAGTGGAACCAATTTTCTGTCTGGTGTGCCATTCTCATCCCTAAGGTCCAGAGGTATACCTGACAGTTTGTGTCCTAGGTTGCTGGAATGGAGGCTTGTGCACCACACACAACAGCTTTCTGTGCCATTTGTGTATGCGAGCTGGGGGTTGGCCACCCCTGCCATAAACTAGGGTCAGACTAAAGCATAGATGGTCTTTGGGCAGAAAAGATGAGGAACCCGAAACAGTCATATAAACAGTCATTTATAACCAGGGATCCGGGTTTTCCGTTTGCCATGGAAAAATGCAGATTTTCTCCTTTAAAGGGGAAAACCATGGGAAACGGTGGGTTTCCCCACATGGGCTGGCTGAGTTTCAGCTTGCAAGGGGCTGATCAGGGCTGGGGGGAGCGGGACGCAGGGGTGCCATGTGCATGTGTGCACGCACACGTCACGTGCATTTGGCAACCAGGCAATGTGGGTGGAGAGCACCTCCTGCAGCTCCGAGGTAAGTCTTTGGAGAGTGGGTGGGCACAGGTGACATGTCAGGGGGTGGGGCTTAGGTGGGAGGACATGGTTGGGGGGGCGGGGTCTGCACTCACAGCAGGGTGCAGGGCTGCAACTGGGCCTCCACAGTCCAGTGGGCAGGCCCTGGCACAGGAGGGAGCGCTGTGGTGCCATGTCCATCAGGGTGAAGCGCTCCCTGCTCATTCAGCAGCAGCAGGGAGCACAACTTCATGCTGTTGCCACACCTCGCCATGGCAGTGTGGTGCTCCCAGGTGGCTCCTGCCCAAAGCTGGTCCAGCCTGGTTGCAGCCCAGCACCCCACTGTGAGCACAGAAATCTATGAGGGCACATGTCCCCCTGCCTCCCCCAGTGTGTCACCTATGCCTACATCCTCCCTTCCCCACCTACCCACTGTTCCCCAGACACCTATCGCTTTCCTCACATCGGAGCTGGGTGTGGGGTACAGGTTAGGAGTGAGGGGTACCAGCAGGGCCGGGAAGCTGCGTGTCAGGAGTGCCACAAAGCAGCGGTTGGGGCAGGGGGCACCACCGCAGCTGGACCCTGCATCCTGATGAACAAAGGGGACCTGGGGAGCTCTGATTTTTCCATGATAAAAAAACAAACAAAATCAAATGCCAAAATATAAAGGTATTTAAACTTTATTTTATTATAATGATTGATGTACTTCCAAATGAGAAATTGGGATTTTTAAACAGAGAAAACAAGGATCCATGTTTGTTGCTCTGGTGTATGAAAGTAGATAGGTTCAAGCATTCATATTTTCCTTTGAGACCTTCAGTTTAAATTTCATCCTTTTCTGCCTTTCCACTTCTAAGTTTTCTGGTTGGATTTTTAATAAAGCTTTTTCAAATAATTTTTGTGCCTTCTCCATTATACCTTAACTTTGGCCAGGTTGGAACAAAAATTGTTTCTTTCTTTGCCTCTTACTTCCATTCAAGAGCAGTTATGTTTAAATGGCTTTTACACTTAAAGGAAATTGATAATGAACAATTTATATTTTCCCGTATGAAAGTAGTAAAATTTCTGCAAACAAAAGCATTCTTATTAATTTAAATATTTTTTATTATCTTTAGCTAGCTCACGTGAATGCCTTGAAATTAAAGGATCAGAATGGTATGTACTAATTTAAAATAGTCTTAAGGTTTGTTGTCTTATGTTCTGTTATTGTATTGTTTTATTCTGATTTTCTTGGACACCGAGTTGAGATTTTTTTTAGCAATTGAGAGCTCTAGTAATCGAATTTATACCATAAATGTTTTCAGAGATTTTTGTTTAGAAAAGCATAAATGGTTACATATAAATGATATTATATAATACTATGCTGCAACATTTTAAAGGCAAAATTGCTACTGTACTAATAATTGCCACTAGGGTCTTTCTCCAAAAGTTCCCCAGCCTTATGCATGTCTTGGCTTCCTAGGTGAGAAGGAGAAAAGCCGAGTCTTTCCACGTTCTCTGCAGAACATTGTAAACTTGAGCTGTTGCTAAATATATAATATTATCTGCTACAACATCATAATATTCAACATGATTAAAAATCACATGTTCCATAAAATCATCTTGGACACAGGTGGAATAGATCCACATCTCTCTTCTAACAAAAACCATGTGTCAGGTGTTTTGGATCCAGTCTGAAAGAGATGACATGCTTCTGCAATCCACAGGAACAAAATATGGCTGTGTGTCACCCATTATTAGGCAGACCATGCATAGTTACTGCTTTCATGTTAAAAGATTTGGCTGTCTCATGTTCTATAATTTAGTATAGTCTTCAAAGGTCTCTAGATTTTCCCCCAGACAACCCATGCAGGTTAATTGTTATATTTGGTAGTGATGTCTGACGACAATAGCACATACTTTGGGCCTGAAGCTAGAAGGAAAGATTAAAAGCCCTCGTGGCCAGTGTTCCAGTAGATACCATCAAAACACTAGCATAATCCGCTGTCGTTGTGTGCGTTTCTTCTGACTATAATGGCTGGTCCACAGAGTACATGGGATTCTTTTCTTCCTAATTGTTGCTTAAACTGAAGAGAAGATATCTATGCTGTAGGGTTCAAATACTGTTGGTGATTTGTTTGGGAGTTAAAAAATACACATGCTTAAAAAGTTAGTACAAGTTCTTGGAAGTAAATGGTTGGAAAGATTTAGAAGTGACTTTAGATACTGTATTAATTATTTTTCTTTTGGTTAATGAGGTCTGTTCCTTTTAACAACATGTGGCAAACAGATTAATACTGAGAGCTTACACTTTATCTGCAGGCTCTGAAAAGGCTAGAACTTTTTTTAAAACTTCCTTTTGAAGAGTATAATGTTGGCATTTATGGGGAGGACTGGATATCCTGGGTATTGCTAATGAACTATAGAGTCTTTCAGCTCTAATTTGAAGTACAAATCATGCC